CGGCCCGGAGCCCAATCGGGGGTGCACCGCGCCGCGCCGCCGCCGCCGCCTGTCCTAGCAACCGGGCCCTTAGCAACCGGCCTACGGCCCGGCCAGCCGCACAGACCCTCCCCGGCGTCAGCCGCTTTCCCTTGCGCCCACAACGCCGCAGCGAGGCGGTGCAGCTCGGGGCGGCGGAGCCGCTCCTCATGTGTCAGACGCCAGGCTCCGCGCTCTCCCCGCAGGCAGGAGAGGCCCGGGGCTCTCAGGCCCCGGAGAAGTCACAGAGCCCCGCGCACCTTAGCTGATGAATCAGCCTCTGCCCTCTTCCGACACACTTCTATAGGCCTCGAGTGCATCCTGCTCTGCTAATCTAAGCAAAGACTATTCCAGCAAAAATTAAACACCCCACAACTAGGGTGGCCATCCTAGAGGACAGTCTTCTGTCCTCTTTCAATACAAAACCCTACACCTTTATGTTCTCTATTTTCCTTTTGAAAATAGTCGGGTTTCGTATCAATAAAGGACAGAGTACGGACTGCCCTCGAGCATGGCCACCCTACTCGCAACACGCTTAGTAGATGAGTTGTCTCGAAAGCAAGACAACTGGGCTCTTCCAAACAACTCTTGTGCCACGTGGGCTAGCTGGGGGCATTTCTGCACCAGCTAAATGTTTTCTGGGCATGTGCACATAGAAAAAAACCCTCCACCAAATGCATGAACTACACCATTCAAGATATTTCATTTTGTGCAAAAATCTAGTTAGTCTGATAAAACATATCATCCTGAACTACACAGGTTAATATATAAATGTCTTTATATCCATATATATGTATATCTATATATACACACACACACCTGACTCTGTAGTTCAGGACTATGGGTATAATATATATATTATATTAATATATAAAAGGCATTTATATATTAGCCTGTGTAGTTCAGGACTCATGGTAGAGGTGATATATATATTTAGGCAGTGCCTTCCCTGCCAAAGAATCCTTCTCAAAGCTCTCGCAACACATGTACAACACAACAGATCGGTCCCTTCATGTTGGGTGTAGTGCACCTTAAAGCCAACCTTAACTGCAGGTTTAAAAGTGGTGGGGCAGAGGAATCCTGACAGCAACAAAATCATTAGGTCTCCTTTTGATTTCTTCCACTTGTTCCACTCCACAAAATGTGCCCCCACTTGAAAATGCAATTAGAAACTTGCATCAAAGGTGTGCACGTTGGCCCCAGTGAATACACAGAACACCCTCTAGCTCTCAATAGGCAAGGGTAGTTGCAGAACAGGAGCTGCTTCCCTACTGGCACCAGGCAATAGGAGCAACCGCTTTTTTTGAGCCTGTTTTCCTCTTTATTTCAATCACAAGGAAGAGAAGGGAAATTCAAAACTTGTTCCACAGTCTGTGGTACAAAATTATACAATGGCAGAGATTTGTACCGCACTGTATGCTCTTCTGGATGATTACTTCTGAAATATATGGCAATGTGTTGGCTGAATGTAGTACAAAGAAAATCAGAAAGGAAACAAAGTCTGTTCTTTAAAACAAGATGTGTACTAATGCATACTAATGGGAAGAGGGAATATTGTTTAATATGCTTATAATATATATTTCACATAAAATCTCCATTTTCTTTCATATGCACGTCCTTGCATGATTTACAGCTCCTGGCCATCAATACACCAGATGTAGTTGTATTTCCATATGTACAAAATCTGTGGGAAGGACTTGTATAATCTCCCTCAGATTATACAAAAGCCTCAGTGACATCAGTTGAAGTTTACAGCTAGTTTGTCTGTCTCTTTCTTAATTATTTATGTTGTTTAGTTTGTACATCCTGCTTGTTTTTGAGGTGTTCGCAAGGACTTTGTTCCTGTTCTAGAATTGAATGTATGGTTGGGTTCATTTCTAATTATCTATCAATGTTTTAGGATCGTTATAAAGCTTTTGAATGGAAGATATTTTTCATCAGGTCACACTGTCTTGCATTTGAAAGCTTGTCTAACTCTATTCCAACTATACAGCTGGTCCTGTGAAAAATATCACCCTAAAATATTCCTGCCTCTCATAATTTCTGGGCCATCGTGGCTCCTTTACTTATATACTATCAGTGCTCAAGAATTCGAGGCTGACATTTTAAATATCCTGCAGCATACAGCACAATTTTGTAATTCACTTACTCTCTTAGTAAATCCAAGCAAAACTAAAAGGCTCTCATTTATAGTCCCCATTCTGATCAATACATGGGAGCTATAAAGGTGGAAAGATGCAAAATCCTCACAATTAATAAACAACACAAATACTTAGATTAAAACCCTAATTCCTTCAGGACAGACATTTGGCTTCCATCGCTAGTTTGCTCTGTACTTTCATTACGTACGCGCTTATTGTACAGAAGGGATCTGGAGTCGACACCTGTCCTTGCCCCTGTGCCGAGGCTGTGATGCTCAACAGGACCCCGGGGTGAACTGAGAACCTTTCAGGGTTGCCGCATTGGGCAAAAGCAATTCACAAGAGAAACCCAGAGATTTCAAATGGGAATCCAGAGTGTTACAAGCGTTGTGTCCCCACGCAGTCGCGGTGAACTCTTTGTAATGCAATAATAGTTTTATTATTTCTGGAGAGTCAACAATCAAGTGGAAACCACGAGTGGGCGTGTTGGGAAAGGTGCCTCGAGTCTAGCGGCGCCCTACTAGGTTGAGAACCACTGGGCTAAGGAGGCTTAGTTCAGTCCTGCCACTCTGCTACAAAGGGGGCAGTTACAGTTTTCAGGCACGCCGGCCTGTGCCAGGCCTCCCTCCCTGGGAGAGGCTTTTTTCCTGGCAGCTCGACCGAGGGCAGCCCGCTGG